AATGGCCTCTGTATCAAATGTGCTCATTTTACAACTAAAGACATTATTTTGAACAGCACAGGCCGCCCGGGCTCTGAGTCAAGCCTAGATTCTTTCCACCTCATGCAGCAGTAGGCTCAAGAAGTTCTGCTGGCCAAACCAGGACTGCCGTTACACAGAGCCAAAGGTATTTGAAGATCCTGGTGCTTATCTGCATCTTTAGATCTCTAAAGGGGTCTAGGTGCCTAATTGCCATAGCAGCTTTTGAAAATCTCATTAGGCACTTTTATGCATGTTTAGACACCTAAATAACTTTGAAAATCTGACCTAAACCCCCTTGTCTTCAAATCATGCCCTCAACAACCTCTTCCTTTCCTCCAATGATGTTGTACAGGTGTCATTAACTACAATTTACTAAGTAATATGCTGGAGAGTGGGGAAGGAGAACTGTAGAAGTAGTAAACTTTGAGCTTCAGTTAGGGTTGAGAATTTCTTTCCTTCAAGCATTATCTGTAAAAACCATCATCGAGAGGTTGCTGTTGCTCTTGTCTCTCATGGGTTTAAGTGTTAGGGCCAACCTCAGCTGCCAAACTGAGCAGAGTACTGGGTAAGTGCTCTGAGGACCAACTTTTTTAATTTCAGGGTAGCTAGAGAGATCTTCCTGCTGTAGCTCTCAGATATACAGTACCTTGATAGTGACCAAAGCCTGCCTACCCTTCTAAGAAGCTAGTGTAAAAAGAACTAGACAAAGGGACTGGATGTTTGAAGTGCACAGTAAGCATCCCTTCCATTTCAGCCATAGCATATTCATGGAGGCTTTCAGATTCTAACAGCACTTGCTGTGCTTCTGATGAGTGATCTGCAGCAGCATTCACAAGTGTGGCACGCTCACTGCTGGAAAGAGGGGACAGCCAAGATAGTGGCCGCTCAGAACTTAACTTTAGGCTGTTGGGCTTAGAAGTACAACTTCCATCTGCCCTCCATCCTTTTATTTTTATGATTGCATGAGGAAGAGGTAGAGGAAGTCCTGACTGCAGTCTAGTAAGTGTCATCAAGTCTGGATCCTTACTTGTGAACAGAAACTTCACTCTAACTGGAGTTGTATATTAGGTGGATTGGAGTTCCTCTGAACTGTAACAACTCCATGTATTCTAAGGTTCATAAAGTTTCATGCTGTGGGCCATATTTTAAGTGTCTGAGTGATGTCAACTTTTATCAGGCATGGTCATGCAACATCCCTTTGGTTAGCGATTGCTTATATGGAAGACTTATAAAAGTGTTCTTTAAAAAATATGACAAACTCTCCTTTTGCTTTTCATCTACCCCTCTCCTTTCTCTATTGCACGTTATCTGGTTCTCTCAGGTCTGCCTCTCACCGGTGGTTCTAGGCAACTCCAACCCTACAGGCTCCAGTTGGCCAGGGCAGCTCTTGGTTTTCACTCCTCTCCTCCATAGTGGCAAGATACACACGACGTAGCTACTTTAGGCTGGGAGCCTTTCTTCCAATCCCTTCCACGCACCTCCAGGTTCTTGAAATAGGAGTCTGTGGAAGTGGCCAAGAGGAGGACACAGTCCCACTTGACATGGCAGCTCCTCAGGGACTAGTTGGTGAGCCTGTCAACCACCTACCCAATCTCCTTCACACACATAAACTGATCAAGGGCATTGTATACAATGTGAGGATGCTGTCATTTTTTTATTCCTGCCTCCTGTTTGGTACTGTAGCACTTCAACCCAGTTTCTTCTCTCTCTCCTGGACTGCTGCAGTCAGTCTTCAACTTCTTTCTCAATGTGTCCCATTTTCTCCCTGGCTCACGAGCAGCAGGGTTCAGCTTCTTCATCCTATAGAAACCTTTGTTTCTTAAGGGTTAACCATTAGGACAAAGGATGCCCAACATCCATACTGGATGCTGCTCCCACCTTTCCCTGAGTCAGTTTTCTGCCTCTCAAACCTCTCTTCCCTTCTACCGTATATTCAGAGGGTGCTCACTCTGCAGCAGATTTTATGCTTCCCACCCACTGGCTTGCCTGTATGAAGTCAGTCTGGGTTCTGTACCATCTCTTCCTGCCTGAAGGTCTTCACTTGGTCCTGCTTCATGCTTGACAACCACTTCTCCTTCACTACTTCCGCCCTATAGACATGCGATCAAGATTAGCTGGCCTTTTTAGTTAAGGTGCAGCTTTCCTCTTTTTACATCTCCTTTATTGATCCACAAGCTCTCTAAAGTATAAGCTCAGACTATGCTTAAGCGAATCTAGAGTCTGTACAGCCCTCTGCTCTTAGACTGTAATACCGATGCAGTATCCCTCTCTAATCACTGTTTTCAGTCTAGTTCTCATATGGATACAGAACTCTGCTACATGTTCCTGCCAACACCAAAAGTTCAAAAAAATCAGATGAATGAACAAAGTGGACAGCGAGACATGCCAAAACCCAAAGTTAAGCTTAAACCCAAATTTTAATAAATGCTTTTTGTTAAACTTCTTCTACTTGCCCAAACCCTGTCACCCCCGCCTCAAGAAAATACAATCTCTCCACCCTGCTAAGAGAACAGGTTTTGTAGCTGACCACCACAATCTGACTTCTGTGAGAAAAAGGGAAATGAGCCACTAAGTTATTTCACTGTTTGTGTGTGCACAGTGGTTCCACTGACATTGAGGGGCAAAATTAGAACTCTCTGAACAGTTACTTCCACTAAATTAATGATGCTCATGATCACAGGCTGTCTCTCACATCCTGCAGTGGCTTTCTCTGGTTCTGGTCTAAGAGGGCTTTCACTTAAAAAAGTTCATTGGAATGTCATACATCCAATAGCACACAAAGGAAACAAGTGGCAGAAAAAAAAATTAAATAGATTGTTCAGACCCAAAAGCCTCAACTGAAATCATGAGACTTGTGCTTGAATCAGAGGATTGACAGCCCTGTGTTGGCAAAATCCTCAGTTATTTAAAGGCAGTTGAAAAATACTTTTTCCCTTTTGTTATTGACTGACTGCAGCACCAGAATCACCTGAGGCATTTAATCAGAATAACCTAAGGTCTCTTTCTTCCAAAGCTTCCATGTATTTTGCTACATCATTTGTTTTCCACCCACCTCCTTGGAAATTTGAAACAAATTGTCATCCCAATTTTCTTCTCCATCATAAGCAACTGAAAGAACCGAGTCAATGTGGTCTAGTGTATAAGAGACCTGACTGGGAATCAGAAGACTTAGGTTCCATTCAAGTCTCTGCTATTGTCTTGCAGGTGACATTGGGCAAATCACCAAAAAACAAAACTGCAAAACAAGACACTCCACTGCATACACTTCTCCCCTTGAGGAGAGGATAAGAGAACAAAACATGTGACAGTTGTAGTCATATCGCCTAATGCACGACTGGAAGGTGCTCGGATAATAGTGATGAGCGCAATATAAGAACCTATATACAACAGAATTTAACAACTTAATTTCATAGAAGATAGAAATAGAAGGACAAGGACAAATGATTACAGCAATGAGGCTAGATGAATAAAAGGGACAAGATAGAGGTATATAATATAAATGATAGAGAAAAGGTAAGGGACCTGGTAGAACTAATGGCCACTGGATAGTGTGATTAGATATGTATATAGATAATGAACATCCACAGAACTTTATAAGGAATATAAATCCTCATATTTCAGGGCATATGCCAGCCATTGACTGATGGGGATGAGGAAGGAAATTTCCCCTGGAGTCAGGCTGTTCCACAAGCAGCCATTCTGGGATTCTTACACTATTTTCCTTTGAAGTGTAGAGTACTAGCTACTATCATAGACAGGATACTGCACTGGATGGGCAGGTGGCTTGATTGAGTGTTTTATTCCTTACTACTGTGTTTCCCTCTCTATAAAATGAGGATAACATTCATCTAGGTTTTGTAAAGCATTTGGGGAGCTAAAGATGAAAGTGGCGTATGAAAGGAGACATTTCCTGATTATTTTTTATGTTTCTAATCCAGAGAAAAAAGTGCCCAGAGAGGTGGTAGAGGAGGCAGTGTGGGGAAGGAGTACTAACTAATCTATACTTTTCACAACCTCCTGCAGAGAACCTAAGGGAATTTAATTATTCCTTCAGCCACTCCTAGTTCTCACATTATGATCAAGCCCCACTTGTCCCTGCATTATGTCCTTATTATTCACCCTCATGTTTTCACTAGCACTCTAACCCACTCTTTTCCATCTTCCCTTGCCTCATCTACTGCCCCACAGACCAGGTCCTCCAAAACACCTTTGCAATTCATTTATGTATAACAGACCCTCAAGGTGTGCACATGACTAACCAAAGTAACCACGCTCTCCTTCTTGTAACATTTGTTGTCCCCAATCTCCTCTCAGTTTTATCATTCGTGTCTGAGTTTAGGAACAGAACTGTCTTATCAGTCTGTAAAAGTGCTTAGTAATACTTTGGGCACTACATAAAACAGTAAATAATAACTGCTGTGCTACCACTTAATGCTGTTACTCAAAAGTGTTCCGTTCAATGGAATCAATGCAACATCAGCTGTACTCTGCAACCACAGGATTTTACACAGCATATGTCCATCAGCAGTCATTAAAAAATAGATTAAAAAATAAATTACCAATTACACCTCTACCCTGATATAATGCTGTCCTCGGGAGCCAAAAAATCGTACCGCGTTGTAGGTGAAACCGCGTTATATCAAACTTGCTTTGATCTGCCGGAGCGCACAGCCCCGCCCCCCGGCCCCCGTTGCATTGCTTTACCGCGTTATATCCGAATTCGTGTTATATTGGGTGGCGTTATATGGGGGTAGAAGTGTATTCTGGCAACCTGCCTCACAACACTATGTGTACGGGAGCAGAGTTCTTCCATTGAAAGCGTAAGGGAGCTCCAAACCACCTGACTGTGTCACTGTCCTCTTAGCTTGGTGATTGGAGTATATCAAACAAGCAGGTAAGTAGTTGGACAGACAGAGGGGAAATAAAAAAAAAAGAAAAGAAACAAGATAACTTAAGAAAAACAAACAGACCAAAATCAATTAAATTTCATTTCTATATTTCAGTAAAACCTACTTGAATACACTTTGAAACAAGAGTACAACAAAATAGAATATACTTCAAATGTTGAATATACAAACTATTATAGTTCATTCTGAACACTGGTACTTCCCTCTTAACTTCAACTAAGAAACTGTACAGGTTTAGAACTACCTGACAAAAATTCATGCTGAGCGTGACCTTTCAAGTGACAGAGTGGAGCTGAAACTGAAATGTATGCACAGATGTCAAGGCTAAGTGAGTGACACAGGCATGTTACAGCAAAAGGCCAAAAGCCTGCTGCTATTTTGTCCACAATTAAGAAATTTAGACAGACTTTAACTACCATACAAAATATGTTACATGTAATTCTATAACAATACTGTGCTAGGTACAAGATTTTTAAAAAATTTGTTTTAATAAAAAAGCTTTACACAAACAAGCCATTAGCTTATTTCAAGAAAGATAACTGAAAATCAGTCTAAGGCTTTCATTTTAAATCTGCTTAAGCTATATGATACAAAATCCCTCTAGGTCTCTTTGTCTTCTTTTAGAAGCTCTTAATCCTCTCCTTTAATTCACATTCTAGTATACCTAGTAGCAGAGTTTTTCACATAGCACCAGTTGAGTACTGTGCGCACACAGTAGTAATTGCTGGTATGCATCCAAAAATGCATCAGATTTGCCATTTGTAACAATGAGACTCCTCTCCCCCTGAAAATTAAACCAAGACAAGCCTCTCACAGAACTCATTTTAGTGTTCCAGGTCTTAGTGTAACTTGATATCGTAGTGAACTGTTTGGTCCCTTTCAGTCCAGTCCCTATAATTTTCCATCTTCATAGGTTCAGTTGTTTCCCAACTGAAAGAGGCAGTTTTCTGTCAGCATATGAATGTGTGGTTCAACTCCCACTGAAACATGGGACAGTTAGTTAATTTCCAGTAAGTCTCTGATATACGCATGTATGTTTACATTTTTAAACTCTCATTTTTGACTTCTTGATCATGTCCATTCCCTCACCCCACCCCACCCCAAGTCTGTCAGAATGCTCAATCAATAAAAGTCAGGAAAATCCATGTTGGTAACTGCCTATTCTTCATTTCTCACATGTTACTATTCCTTCTGTTTTCATTGTTAGAGGAAGGGCAATGGCTGAGGGCGTACTAACTACTACAACATGCGTCACAGTCTTGCTTCCATCTGCTGGCTTTTCTTCTTGTACAAGTTGCAGTGTTTTCATTTCACGTTCCTGTTTTAAAGCCACTGTATCTGGTTTCACCTCTGGCCCTTTTATGACTGCACTAATAACTCTGGGAGGAGTCTGACCAGATGCCTGCTGGGCAGGCATTGATAGTCTCATTACTGGTGTCCCATGAGCTATAGACACAGGGGTAAGTGCTCTCACAGCCAATGGGGTTCCAACTATGTTAATACTTCCTGACCCAGTCAGGCCTGTTTTTGTCTGCAACTGACACTGTGCGAGTTGAGTAGCAGGGATGGTAATGATTTTGGCAGGCTGCATTGTGATTTTATCTCCATTTTCAGCAGATGCTGGCATCACGGTAGGGATTGTCTGGATTACTACCTTTGGGGTCGTTGCTGTTGTTGGACTTGTACTGGTTATTAATGGTGACCCTGCATTTACTGACTGTACTGCCACAGTTGAAATTTTCTGCCCCAGAGATGTCATTACGACAGGCACTTGCATCGCCACACGAACAGTCCTGTTGAAAGATTAATATATATGTATATACATTCATTGTGCTGTCAGGTCACCACAAAAATTAAAAGGGATAAAAATCCCAGGACTTACAGGGAGTTGTGCCAAAAGAAAACTGTACCATTTTTGATACACCCAGCAATCAGAAAAAGCATTCACATCCTTTTCTTCAGTTAAATAAATCATCAGATTATTTGAAAAATGAGTCTGGTGGCAAGCATACTGATAGCAGCAGCACGATGAGTAAGGCTGTGAGTTTGTCACGGAGGTCATGGATTCCGTGACTTTCCATGACTTCTGCAGTGGCTGGTGCTGGTCCAGGGACTGCCTGAGCCAGGCAGCCCCTGGGCCAGCAGTAGCAGTTTGGGTGTGTGGGAGGGGGCTCAGGGCTAGGGATTGGGGTGGGGGACTCCCCTTCAGCTCCCAGGTGGTGAAGAGGTGGGGGGGCAGGTCTCCATGCCGCATGCTGCCAGCGCCTGCAGGCCCTGTCCCTGCAGCTCCCTTTGGCTGTGGTTCCTGGCCAATGGGAGCTGCAGCAGCCGGAGCTTGTGGCGGGAGCAGCAAGCAGAGGAGTCCCTGCCCTGACCCTGCCTCTGCTGCCTAGGAGCTGCAGGGACGCAGAGCCGGGTAGGGAGCCCCGCCAACCCCCCTTCACCTCCCAGTACCAGCAAGGGTCCTGGGCCGAGCGCTGCAGCCTGGCCCCCTTTCCCCCCAGTACCCATGGGGGTCCCGGCCACACGCTGCGGCCCGGCCCCCTTCTTCCCCAGCACCAGCGGGGGTCCCGGCGTCTGCTGCAGCCTGGCCCCCTTCTCCCCCAGCACCAGCAGGGGTCCCAGGTCACCTCCTCCTGTTTAAATCAGTGGTCCCCAAATTGTGGGGCGTGCCCCCTAAGGCGGCATGGAGGAACATGGGGGGGGGGCGCACAGCGGGGCCCATGGGGGGCAGGGAGGGAGTGCCACGCAGCTCTGCTCTGCCCCCAGCTCCTTTCCGGCCCCACCCCCAGCGGCAATCTGTCTCCCAGCCACAGTGATGGCTCCAATCCTGGGCCCGTTCCTAGCTCCCAGCCCCTGACCACGGCCCTGGTGGGGGGGCGGATGTGGACAGGTTCCATTATTGGTAAGGGGGGGGTGGGGGGAAGGGGGTGATGGAAAAAGTTTGGGGACAGCTGGTTTAAATAGTAAGGCCAAAGCCTTCTAAATTAAGAGAGTCTAAAGTTTGGCTCCTAAATAAGTGGTCTGATTTTTCATGTGCTGAGTACTTAGCAGGTGAGTCTCACTGACTTGCTGGCTGCTCAGCCCTTTTAAAGAATCAGGCCACTTATTTAGGAGTCTAAATATGGACCTTGGGAGCCACAAACTCCTATTTTTGAAAATCTTAGCCAAAGGGCTTAATGACTGTAAAGCAGTTTACAACCGGCTACGCTGGGCTCTCATTACCACAAGTATGTTTTAGCAAGGTGGTTGACACCAGGTTATCTGTAGGCACTACATTACAACAACTCAGCTTCCTGACTGAAGGGTTCAGCAGATGACAAACAGTGTGGCACGAACCTGGGAGCTGCTGTTGCTGGAACAGTGGTAGTGGTGGTGGGAAGACGAGATGACGTATCATGCCCTGGAGAGGCAATATTCACAACTCGGGTGACTGCCTTCTCTGCTCTTGTACAATTTAACGGAGAAGAATTTTTTGCACCACGTGCAGATGCTGCTGCTTTCAAGAGGCTTTCTGCAGACAATGACACTCGTTCCAATGACTTCTCATCTGTAGGCATTGATAAATCTTCATTGCAGGATTCACTTTTGTCATCATCTATGACCACTATGTTTTTTGGCATCTCCTTAAACTGATATACCAGCCTTTGCCCCTCAACCTTTGCGAGAATTCCCCTTTGATAGTAATATCTGCAAGGAAAAGTACAATTATGAAGTAAACAACACTGATGGATGTACACAAGGACTCAACATTTCAAACCTGCTTGTTAACATAGACCAAAAACACACTAATTTCTACAATAATAGGAAAAAAAGCTATCAAACATACTGGCTAAGAATAACTATTCAAGGACCATGGCTTAAAAGTTTGGGTTATGTTTTTTTTTAAATCATGTTTATACAAAATATTTAAAAAATAAAATATATTCACTGGGAATATGAAAAAGCAATGAAAATGGCAGAGATTATGATTTATAGTATACAGTTGCATTTTAACAATTGTAAAGAGTTAAAATCTAGTAGCTATAGAAAAATGTAGGTCAGATGTTTATGATCATACTTTTTGGGGGGGGTTTTAAGTCTCCAATTTAAAATGACTAATTATACAATTGCAGACTATTTTGTAATTAAAGGAAAGCCCCAATATTCTTCCCCTTCATTTACCTCAGGGCCCTTCCCATCGTCTCATAGTTCATGTCAGGTTTGTTCTTGTGCTTTCCCCATAGCTTGGAGACCGCTTTGGAGTCCACAAGTTTAAAGATGCCCTTCTCTCGCTGAGTCCACTTAATGTATCGAGGACAAGTATTTTTGTCCTGAAGAAGATCCAGAAGGAACTCCCACAAATATGTTGTATTTCCTACAAAAACAGAAAGCATATGAACATTAGACAACATAAAGGTATTAAAAACCTCTCCATATATAGACATACAAAAGTGCACTTAGACAACTATCTGATATAGGAACTTTGAATGACTACATTGCATACCATCCTCTGCCTACCCTTCACTTGTAATGTGTATGTATTTGTTCACTCTGATAAATTTAGGAAAGATTTCCTAAATATTTACATTCTGAAACTCAAAGGGGTTAGCACTAGAACTGTGCTATGCCACATGATGTGGGAGACTCTTCAAACCAAAATTAGCTCTCAACTGCTATAAGAAAGGGAGTGATGGAGTCCTGCACCACCAACACCTCCTGGCTGCCTAGAGGACATAAACAATGCTCTGAAAGGAGTTCGGTTCAGCTCTTAAGACTGCAGATAGCAGTTCCAGAACATAGGCTGTACATTCTGGGATGGAGTCTGGTGATGGGAAAGGAAGGAGAGAGGATGGAGAGACTACTTAAGGAAAGGCAAACTTTTTCTTTGGCAGAGGAGAGGGGGGAAGATATCCCCATACACAAGCTCCTAGAAACCTCTTTCTTTTTGATCTGCCTCCATCCCTCACCTTTATTATTGGGAGTTCAGTGTTCACAAGGTATCTTAGCCTGTTCACTGGACTCCATTGCTTCCCAACTGTAACATCACAGTGTCTAAAACACTTCAAAATCTCCAAGCCATTCCCCTACTGTGTATTATTATTTGTACTGGAGTAGCCCCTAGCTATCATAGATCAGCACCCCATTATGCAATTCAGTATACAAACAGAGAACAAAAAGACTGTCTCTACCCCAAAAAGCTTTCAATCTAAGTAAGTGTATGCTCTCAGGTTTCAGAGCTGTGGCATATGTAATAGAGAAGACCCAGCATTGCACTGAATTTAAACAGAGAAGCTGCCTGGACTCTGATTAGACCACTTCCATCTGGGAGAAAGGGGCTACAAACAGAAAAAAAACCAGACCACATTCTGTTTATCACAGGTGGAAGGAAGTGATTTTGTGAACAAATCATCAAAAAAAGAAAGGAGAACCTGTAGAATCATGAGAAGGGAGAGCAGGGGAAGGGCTGCTGAATGCTGAAAAACAGTTCAAACAGTTTGTAAATTTTGAGATTTACCCACACCTAAAAAACTAAAATACAGGAAGCCCTTCAATGAGAGTTAAAACCTGACCATCCTATTAAAGGGGCACTCAGTCAGAGTCCCCAGATTTTGTGACCTGACCAAGTTTTCAATCCTGGAGGAATGCAGAAGCCCAAGTAAATAAACAAAAGCCCATTAAAGAATAAATCTGTTTGTGCAACATGCTACCATATCAATTAACAAATGCTCAAGCATTCGCTCCTGAAACTTGGTGACAGCATCATTGAGGCTAGACTATTACAAAGTCTATGATAAAAGCATTGCAAAATACATTTACTTCCCTTATAGGTAGTTTAAAGAGTGCCACAGTCCTCAAAATTCCTTAAAATTTATTAACCCTTATCTGGGGAAGCTATTATAGTTCCACTTTATAGATGGCTAAACGGAGGTACAGAGATTAAATGACTTGTCTAAAGCAATATAGGTCCTGATCCAAAGCTCACTAAAATCAATGGGAGTCTTCTCACTGATTTCAATGAAATTCAGATCACGCCCATAGTGAGTAACAGTCAGGAACACAACCTAGGAATCCAGTTATCGGTTCTAACCAAGAGACCACACTTCCTAGACATTCCCAGATCTATTGGTTTTATTCTGACTTGTCAAATGAAACTAAAACAAAGTTCCAGTACTAAGTGCTGTTTTTTAGATATTATACTTAATAGCTGTTCTATTTGCACATGATAAAAAAAGCCAAAAATTAGTTTTCAATTCAATAAATTGTTCCTGCTAGAAAAAATGAAACTGTTAAAAGAATTCCAAAGAAATTACAGCAAATTAACAATTATTGACTTCTGGTCCACCCAGATAGGATTTCTCCAACGCTCATTACCAACATGCTATCAATGCTATCTGTCTTTCTGCAATAGCTCCTGGACTGAGAAAATGAAAAACTCACAGCATTAAGTGAGCAAGAACTTCAACATACGTTAAAAGCAACAAAGAGTCCTGTGGCACCTTATAAACTAAAAGATGTATTGGAGCATAAGCTTTCGTGGGTGAATACCCACATGCGTCTGATGAAGTGGGTATTCACCCACGAAAGCTTATGCTCCAATACGTCTGTTCGTCTATAAGGTGCCACAGGACTCTTTGTTGCTTTTTACAGATCCAGACTAACACAGCTACCCCCTCTGATACTCAACATACGTTGTTTCCCCCGCAAAAACACATTAGATCCCCAAAATGCCAGATCAAAGGAAATGGCCCTCATTTTGCTGCAGGAGGTGGTACTGGTGATTCAGTAGGTGGCACTCTTCCCTCATAGTCTGTATTGAGCTAAATATGTATGTTTCCATCAGCAGGAATTTGGGACAGCCATATTAATTACAAGGTGTGTGGCAAATCATCCCAAAAGAGTGCCAATAAAACTAGATTATACCACTGCATATTCTGTAGCTATTACATATTTTTTAAAATAGTGTTTTTGTTAATATTTAATACACATTTTAAAACATTTCAATGGGATTTTTTTAATTCCTTCACTTATAAAGCCAGAATCCCTTAGTGAACCAAAGCGTACAGAACTCCGAGGAAGAGGAAATAATGCCTGAAACCTTTAAAAATGATCTAAACTAGGTTTTCTATGCACAGAAGTGTCACAATGGTAAAGCCCAATAGGGCAAGTCCTCCCAGGACTAACACACATGCTGTATCTCACCGGAAAGCTATGAACATGCTCTAATGACTCAGAACCCTATCTGTGATTCAAGAAAGATTTGTTGAACCTGAGTTGTTTTCACAAAAATGGTTCAGTTTCAACAAATCAGCGTTTTCAAGAAAAACTGTTTCATCAAAATATTTCCAACCACCTCTAAGTCATTCTTTACCACCTAGGGATTCCTCTCCCCGCAATAAGGGCTCCTCAGGGGGCCAATTAAGCCAGATTTACAGTTAATTTGCACCACCACAGCAGCTCAAAGCATCAGGGATGCACCAGTGAATCAGTCTACATCTTTGTGTGCATATTATATGTATAATACAATCTTTGACAGTTGTAGTCCAATATGAAACTGGTTGCACACCATCTGCTGTCACTCCCCTAGCCCTCAAGTATCAGGGGGTAGCCGTGTTAGTCTGTATCTACAAAAACAACAAGGAGTCTGGTGGCACCTTAAAGACTAACAGATTTATTTGGGCATAAGCTTTCGTGGGTAAAAACCTCACTTCTTCGGATGCATGTTCCCCTAGCCCTGAGAACCTTGCTGTCAGTGCTGAATTGTGTAAGGAGTTCCCCAAAAGATGCCAAATTTAAAAAAGAACCATAAACATGAAAGTAACTCTTGAATACACAACAACCCCACAACACATCCCAGACAATAAACAAAATATACATGTAGCCAGGCTCAGGGGGAGAGAGAACTTTCCCCAATAAATCTTGGAAATTGAGAATCCTGTGAGATGACCCCTTCAAATAAGTACAATTACAAGTAAAGCAATTGCTCCTTCTTTAAACATTCCAGGACTGTCGAATTCTTAGTCTTGGAGACTAAATATTTTGAAAGATGTTAAGTTAGCCAATACCCAGCAAGAAACATTAATTGTTTTTAATATAAAAGAAGGGGTAAGAGACACAAACAGAGTCAGTCTCAAAGAAAGTGTCCTCAGAAAAATAAACTTTCAAAATATTGGCCAACTAAAGAAGACAAGATCCCCAGTGGAGACAACACTCAAGGAGACAAAAGTTTAGACATTCTTTCGAAACAGGTTCTCTAAAAGACATAGAACTAGGTCACTTCCCTAAAGTATTCTTCAGGTAATGGAAAGTCAGCTCGAGTGAAGCCAGTAGAAAGGAACATAAACTACACCAGCTAAATTGAAATGGAAATTAAGAGGGCTAAGAGGATGTTGAAATGCAAAGTGCCAAAACACAAAACAAATGTATTCTTTAAGGGCAACTGAAAATCTGTGACAATCAATGGGGTTCACTGGAATACCCATAAGTAAAGGGAACAATTAAAGAGCATAAGGACACTGCAGAGAAGTTAAATGATTTATTTGTAGTGGTTTTCAGCACAGACTTACCTTGGTCACACTACTCCTTCCCTATTCTCCCCCAGACACCTGCTCACAAACTCCAGGACTCTGGAGCTCTACCCTGATAAGGAACCAGGTAAGCAGGAGAGGACTCCTGGATTAGAACAGAGCATGTATCTATGGCCATTCTCAGAAGGAGGAGATTTTGCACTTACCAACTACACTAGAGCTGAAAACCACACGGCTCATCCCGTATGTTGCTATTAAGATCACTAAACCTTTGTCTCTCCTGAGTTTGGTTAAGACCTCTGCTACCAATTGTATTAGCGGATAGGTGTACAGGAATTTTTCTCCTTTTCTCTTCAACATAAAGAAACAGTATCCCTTACTTAGGGTGATCTTTTCCTTATGCCACAAGCAGAAGTCCAAACCATTAGTAAGTGGCAAAGGCATCCATGTTTTGTGTCTTCCACTGGAGGAAGATCTGATATATCACACACTGACTCTGAGGCGACTTGTGAATGCCTACTACCAACCACCTTTCTGCTGACTGGAGGGAAGGGGCAGCAAGGAAGGATACTCTATGTATCAATGGAACTGATGGTGAAAGCATGGCTCTCCTGACCAATTGGTCAAGAAAGAACAACTGGAAGGCTCTAAGGTAGTGACAGTTGGCAACACAGGGGCACGTATGCATACACACAGATAGGTGATGGTGGTCGTGCACTGACAAGCATTGCCTCACAGGGCCAAAACACTTCACTTTAAAGGCGTTCTCTTCCTGCCTCATCTTGTGGACACAAAACCAAGTCTTGTGATGTAAGAAAATATAAAATAATTAGTTTTCTAGCTAGTTAAGCCAACCACTGAACCTACTGCGAAGGCAGGGTACTTCCTTGTGTATATTTAAGCCACTGCAGAGGCTGAATCCACTACTAAAGCAACAAGCTTCTTTGAACATACAACAGGGAGGCCTTAAATGTATTATTATACAGCATAAGTGCACACACGCAGTTTTGCTTGCTCTGCCTGACCACAGGCTCTCCAGTGGCAACGTAACAAAGCATGTGTCCAGCAACAAGCCAACAGGGAGCACATCAGCCAGCGTGAGTGAAGTCAATATGTGCAAACAGAATTTCAAATGAAAATAATCATAACTGCAGCAGTTATTAATATTAAATACTGATACTATAGTAAAACCTAGAGGCCCCAATTGAGGCTTCAATTTACTAGACCCTGTACAAACACATACTAAAACATGGGGTGAAATTCTCGCTCCGCTGAGTTCAGCAAGGTATTTACAAATCTTGGTATTTTACAAAATGTGTTTAGTACTAATGCATGAAAGATGTATTGGGATTTTTAGATAAAAATGCACTATATTATTTTAAGTCTTAATACATGGAAGAAATTACCTTTGCCTTCTCTGGGTTTCTTCTTTATACCTAAATCTGGAGAACCATTGGAAATGGCTGACTGTTGGGTCTTTGGTTTACGGCCAGCTGTACATGAAATTTAAAAAGAAAATTGTAAGACATACATATAGAAATAATTAATATCTTATGTCTGAGTGGTAATTCATGTTTCTCATGTTATTCCCCTTATTACATTGTATGGACAAATAGGCCTTTATCAAATAGGTTAATTTTAAATCTTATATAAGATAAGATTATTTATTTTGCAAGTCACAAGTCAATGTAACTCAATTCCAAATGAGCTAAATACAACGTATGCACTAACCATAAAAATTAACACACTTATAAGTTTGCATTCCTTTGGTCTGATGTCAGTAATAATTATTGCTATATTAATTTAAATATCTTGTCCATTGTATTTTATGCTTCCTTTCAGAACTAATTTGTTTTACAAAAAGATTAATAAATATAAGGAAAACAATTTTTTAAGAAATCTGACCATTGAAATAGTACTTTTTTTTACCTATATGGAAAACAGTTCTTACATTAAAAATATTAACACCTTACTTCTTTGTGAAAGGACACTATGCAAAGGATCACAATCCCTTCATTACTATGGAACTGTGGAGCAGAAACACATTTTACAGTAGAAGAGCATTATGACACCATTGAAGCAGAGGTCAAAACATAAAGTGAACAGGAAGTACTGTATCCCTTCATTTCTGTTTAACCTTCTGTCCGTTAAAAGGCTAGGAGTGAGATTCTTTGCTGTACTTCTAAGAGGCGCAGCACCAAACTCACAATGCAGGTGGGGGGGGGGTCTAAGGTGATTGTAAGCCAATTTTCCACTTTCTTGATGCTGGGCTGCTTTGTGCCTCTCAGAATTATTTAGACAGCCTTCAAGGCCTAAGTTATAGCAGCCTATCTGTGGCTGCCTATGATCCCCCTGCCTGAAATCTCTGCAGTGCTGCATGCTATGGCCATGCCCTGACATGCCTTTTCTGCCCCCAGTTATGCTCCCTACAGGAGGAGGGTGCAATGGGGGGTGCCTAGGAAGGCAGCTTTGCAGTTGACTTCCTCAGGTTCTTGTGCCAAGAGCAGATTTGGTGCTTTCAGAACCATTGTATGCTGCTATGACCCTTTAACTCAGCATAAAGGGGCCAGAGCAAAGAGTGAAGATCTCCCCCCTAGGTCAGCAAGCTGAAGAGAGTCTGTGTTTCTGTGTTCAAGGCTAAAGAAAATGTCAACCAATAACTCATATCTTAGGAACATGAACACAAATTGCTCCTGAAGAAAAGTGTTGTGCATCAAACATTGAAATTCAACAACATGTATTTTTATGGAGGTGGCAGTTGCAGTTCCATAGTTAAGACTGAGTTGAGTTTTACACTTAAACCAGGGAATCAAACTCTTTGTAATGTACAAAAAATAGAGCATATCCATCTCAAAAACCACAGAACCTACTCTTTGACTATAACTCTGCCTGGTAGCAACACTATAATAGGTTAGGGAAAAGTGTTTTTAAAAAAATCAGTTTACTCTAATCTGGGACCACAAACACTAAAATGACTTAATCATAAAGATTACTTCAGGAAGGAGCTATGGTTGTTTGAATGCCTTAACTCTGCATTTCCATACCATGTTTGCATTTCTGTTAAGTTTAGCCATAATGAACTCCCTGGATTTATATCGCTTTATCCCTGTACTGTACTTTATCCTAAACTACTGCTGTGTCCTCCATCTTAATGTACTTTTTGTCTGTGAATTTTTAGAAATCTGTCATACAGAAGCATCTCTATATATGTGAATGATTCTGGTGCCTCAATGAAAACTGCTATTTTACTAATTACCACAGGAAGTCT